TAATAAATTCTACTCCAAACCCCAGGGAAACCAGTTCTGGTGGAGACACTTGAGTCACCTTACCCCTTCCCTTCACCCTCACTTTTCCTTCTACAGCCTTAACTGCACCTGAAGGAAAGAGTAAAGTTCTGAGGTAGTTATGCTGGGCTGAGGTGAGCTGACTGCTCTCATCCGTCCCCCATTAGGAGCCCTGGGTGCCAATTCTGCCAACGAGGGCCGTGATGGTGACCTGGCCGAAGGGAAAGGAGCAGGAGAAAGGAGGCCAGAAACTGGAGGAGAGAGGTGGAACTAGGATCACCTTCACCTGCCCTGAGTCCAGCTCCTCTGTTCAACTATTCCTCCACCTTCACTTAGGGTTAAAGGAGGCAGGGGTGGGGGCAAAAGGGAGGGGGCACAGTGGAGTTACACAAGTGACCTTCTTCCACTGAGAGAATGAGTTCACTGCCTCCCGGGAGATGCCTCACCATACATCCACTCTGCAGCTGATGAGGCAAACCACAAGGAAAACTTCTGTAGCCCATATTTATGGTATTAATGAATAGTTAAAAAAAGATTTACACTTCTTATGATCAATATTCTGAGTTATTTCCCTCAAAGCATATAATTACAGTGTCTTCAGAGTTTTCATCATTGTTTGAGGTGGCAAAACCATTTGTAATTTTCATTAGCCAGTAAACATGTAATTAACATTCAGCACTGTGTTTAACTTAATGCCTATATAAGACAAGGACAAGAAGCAGTCGAAGAATGTGAGTTCCATTTGTCAAGTCTGACATACATCTTACCATAACTGTTTCCTAAAAGAAAAGATTCATGTTTCCTAAAATAAAAGATCCGTTATTCTTCTCCTTAAGCAAAACAACAACAACAAAAATCGATTAGTTAAAACTAATAAACTGCAAGGGACAGCATAGCTTAATCTCAATTTTTGCTAGTTACTGTGCATTCTACTTTCATTGGGGAGGTGCAGGGAGCGGGTAAATTAAACATTCATTATCTGCATTCATGAAATGAGGAACCCCTCCTCTTCTGGTTTCCTCTTCAGGAAAGTTCTAGAACAGTGCATAGAAGGGGACCATGAATGTGCAGGGGAAAGGCAGGAATGTCACTTAGGAGAGACTGGACTTAAAAGTAGAAAAATGAGGATTCCAGTGGATTTCTAGAATAAACGTTGCCCTCTTGTCTCAAACCCTATCTTTGATCCAGGGCAAAGGGAGCCTGAATTCTGCAAGGCTGCAGCTTCCTCCCCCCCCATCCCTCCCCTCGGTCGTTTCCCCCCCAACTTGCTTTAGCTTCCAACCCGCTGGACCCCAAACAGGGGGATCTGGCTTTGCCTCCGGTCGACTAAGCTTTGCAATATCGCCTATAGTTGGTGGTGCTTTTCTGCTGAGGCTGAGCTGCTTGCTTTAGCCTTCGACTAAACTCATTAAGTTGGGAGATTTTTTCAATTGGATGGGTGTTTTTAAAGTCTCGTCTTTCCAGCCCCAAACAAGGTGTAACAACGCACTCTTCCTTCTAAGGAATGAGATGAGAGACAAGGATCACTCCAGACATCTCCTACCTACGGTTTGGGGTTTTTTTTTCTTAAAGGCGAGGCTTGCATTCCTCAGCAGCTATGTACAAAGCTCCCTGAAACGTTTCTCGCTAAAGTTAGTGTGCAGGGTTTTCCAGGGCTGAGAGCGCCTAGTCCATGGGCAAGCCCTTCTGGGAGGTGGACAAGCTCTCCCTCACCTTTCCTCTTCCTCCCTGCAGGCTAGTGCCTACTTTTTATCAGTTTGCACAATCGCTTAGATAAACACCGAGGAGGAAGGAGATTCTCTTTAATTATCAAAGACACATCTTTTCAGGGGGTCAACAAAGCGTTCATTTCACCCGCCAAACTAAAGGAGAGTTATTCCAGTTTAGAAGGAAGATGCAAGCTGTTTGGGACCTTGAACAAGGCAAATATGGTTTTGGTATGTTTACTTACAGTATTTTTTCCCCCTTTCTCTCTCTCTCTCTTCTTACTTTTCTCCTTGTGCTGTGTGGGGTTTGGGGAGGACTTGGGTTTTGTTTTTTTGGGTTTTTTTGTTTGTTTTTTTTTTTTCTTTTAAAAAGGCTTGCTAATGTATATGAAATGCTAGCACTGTGATTTTAAGGGTTGGGGGACGAGGGAGAAAGAGTTCAACGCATTGCCATATATTTTATTACATATGTGCGGCAGGAAAGGGGGTGGAGGTGGGATATGGAGGAAATACAATTGCAAAACTGCCAAAGGATGATTAAATCGTAGGGTAAAGACTGCGGTGTTTCCCATCTCCTAGTCCTGTCGCTTCAAAGTCCTTTCCTACGTACGGTAGCACCAACTAAAAACCAGTCCTCCAAGCACGGCTTTCCTAGCAACAGACGGCTCAGTTTGCTAGCAAAGGAGCTGTTAGGCTCCTACGAAGTATGAGAATTTACGGTTCGATTTGCCTCTCTGCTTCATTTAGCAACCTTGTGCAACTGACAGGCAGCTAGGCGGGGAGGCAGAGCGGCGCGGCCAGCGCCCTGGGCCCGGCTCCCGGAGGCGAGCGCTCGGCTAAGCTGTGGACGCGCAGCGAGAAGGGTACTCACCATCAGGCGGGTGGTGGAGCTGCGCGCGGGGCTCAGGCAAGCCTGTACCTTTTTGCTGTCTATTTGCAACTGCGGCCGGCGGACCTAAGCAGCAATTCTGTGCTCCGGTCACAACATTCAAGGAACGGTGTCTCATTTTTAAAAAGAAAGCCAGTGAGAGAAGGCAGAGACAGAGAAAGAAAAGGAGAGGAGGGGGTGAGGGGGACGCACATAAACCCAGTTTAAAAAAAAAAAAATCACCACTTAGCCAGTGACTCAGGGACTGCAGAGGTGACGGGATCGCAGTGTGGTCCAACCAAGCCTGAGCCAATTAATTTTAAATCCTGAAGAATTATTCAGATTAAAATGTACTGAAGTTTCATTCTCCTATGCCTACGTGAGCCCAAAGTCGTTTCCCTTTAAGAGTTCCTTTTCTTTTAAAGTTGAATTTTAGGCAGCGAGGACTCTTACACTAGGGGGCAGACAGATACTGTATTTGCTCCAATCTTAAGCAATTTTTCCCCCTCCCAGTATATGCTCTGATTTAGCACTGTAAATTTTTCAGAGGACCCAACCCTGACAGCCCCTGGTGATTTTCAAAGTACCACAAGCCAGTGGTTAAAAATTGCATTGACTTGAAGTTCAGAGGGACACAATGGAAGCCCCTTTCCCTATTCATGGAGCTTCAGTGCGGTGGCAGAGAAAAACACACAAGAACTAGATTGAGGGAAAGGAGGAATTCAATGAATCTTGGTGGAAGGAGCTGGCTTCTGCTGAGTTCAGAGTTAAATTCAGCTTTTGCTGGGGTCTGTATTCATATTGTGATTTAATCTGTGAAGAATTACGGCCAGTCAGGCTACTTGATGCAAGAATATCATATTCCTGGGTGGGTTTTGTTGTGAGGGTGGGTTTTTTTCTCCTCCCCCTTTCCGATTAAGACAAATGTTATTCCAACTTTCTCTGGCCAAATAGAAGCGTGCCATTCTTCTCATTAAAATAAATTTACATCTGCAGTTAGAGACATGGCTGAATTCTCCCCACCCCCAAAGGTAGCAACGTATTGATATTTATGTTTTTACTCTTGGAGCTGTTTTCCTCAAGGCAAATGAGCATCTCTGATGGAGACATTAAAAAATCTTTATCCCTCCTTTTCCCTCTCAGAATGCAGTCTTACCTCTTCTTTGCATTAAATGAACACTGAGGGAGTTTCCCCTTCCCTTTTTCTTTTTAACAGAGTCTTAAAATACAGAGTAAAAACCCTTACTCCATGGCAGTTCTGTAGTCACTGACCAGGAGGCTCCAGGTCTGATGCATGGTTGGGAAATTCTCCATTTTGACTCTAAGATTACCAAAACGCACTTGAAATCCTCCTCCCTCCAGAACAATCTCTAACTGGACTCTGGAAGCCCCCTCTTCTTCAGAAGTGTCCCTTTTAAGAGATGGACTCGCCATAGAAGCTTCTGCAGTCAGGAGAACTGAGATTACCCTCTAATCAATTATTCCCATCTTCTATTATACTTGGAAAGGGAAAGCCCATTACATTTCCCATCTCAACTCTAGCCTATCATGTCTCCTTCAAGTTTGCCCTTAAACTATTGGCATTTGTGGCATGAGGCCATCCCTTGAGTCATAAAAGTTGAAAGAAGGGGAAAAAATGCTCCCCTATGAAATTATTTCTTTGCCACTCTTCATTCCATCTTCAAGAGAAAGTTAGATTATGTCTCAAAGCAATCTGAAATTCTTAGTTTGGCTTTGGTCTGTGGCAATACATCAGGTTTGTGATAGTTCAGCATCTACTATATTTTGGGGTTTGTTGGGTTTAAAAAAAAAAAAGCACCAAAAACTTTCAACTACGCTCCAAACCTGCAGCTTTAGTGAAATGTGCGATTTCAGCAGAGAAAGAATAAGGGCTATGGGATTTTTAAATGATGCTTAAAAATAATTTTTTTCCTCCTCTAAAAACTAGCCCAGATCTTTGTTTAACCCCTACCTCGTATTCTGCCTGTGTGTGTAAAGGGTATTGAACACAAAATGCAATTAACTTATTCCATTACACATATGATTTTTTTTAAAAATTCATTCTCTCAAGTTTTTGAGCTATCAGGGATGTTTTGCTGCAGTTGTTATTAACTCTTTTTATGTGTTTGTTTTTCATGAAGCTTGGCATGTTTTAAGTAAAATATTTTCATTGTTCATAATAAACCTGGCTGACTTAGCAATTGGTGGATTTTCTTGCTACAAAGTGTCTTTGATGGAATGTGAATTTCCCTCTATGAATATAGAATGATCATAATCAGTGAGGTTACTGCATATCGCCTGTGCTGGGGAACAATTCTAGATGTATTATGCGTAAAACCAACACCTTGAAAATCAGAGCCACAAGCATCTCAATCAGCTGAGCACATTGCTAACACTGCACAGGCGATGAAGTGTTCTTACTGTAGTGAACCTTTGGAGGTAAACTCTGGCTTCAGTGTTTTTTGTGTTGTACAGGTATCATTTGCATCTTGGAGTAGACTCTCTTGGTGTGTTTTAATGACTGTCTCAATGCTTAAAAAGAACTTGAGAAACAATGAAGTCGGTACTCAACTGTTCTATGACCTAGAAGCGTGGTCGTTTAAGTCTTTGTCTGTGTACATTGACAAATGTGCATCTGATATACATGTGCGTACATGTATGTACAGAGGATGGTATGCCCAGGGGAGTCGCGGCAGCCTCAGCCAAGTCTTCCTCCTCCCCCCTTATCAATACTCAGTGTGTGGCTGAACGTTAGCTATCAAGTTAGCTCGGTCTAACGAGGGAGGATAAAGTTGAGGAAAATTTATTTTCATTGCAGAGATGAAATCTACCTCTGCTTCTAAGCATACGAGATACTTTATTTGTGCAATTAAAATGCCAGGCCTCATACCTGTGAAATGTTAACTCTACGAAGGAAAAGATAGAAACCAAACAGCTTATTTTATATATATCTATACACACACACACACATATATACACAAACATATATATACATACACACACATATATACATATATACACACACATATATATATACACATATATACACACATATATAAATAATCTTTTCCAAGAGCCACCAAAATAAAAAAAAAATGATTAAGAGTTGATTAAGAGTTTTCATCACCCAGACTTGGCAAAGTATTTCCTTTGCAAAATCCCTGACAGCTTTGTAGTTTCCGGCACCTTCCTACCCCTGCCACTGGTCCCCGGGCCAAAAGACGGGGGAACTTTTTCTTTCTTTGGCACCGTGAGCACAAAGGTGGAATGAGAGTCCCAGCTGGTGCGCGTGCGGCTGGTCTCTCCGCCTTCCCAAGTTGTGCCAGCGAAGTCCCAGCTCCCACCGCAGGCGCTCGCGGAGCCTTTAAGAGGTGTCGAGTGCGCGCCGCTCGGGTCCCTGCGCCGCGGCGGAAACCCCAGGGCGAGTTGCGCGCGAGGAGCAGGAGCCGCGTGCCCGGCAAGCCCGGCCCATCCCCCACGGGCGG